ATTACGCCGTGACGTGGCGTCACTAAGCGCATTCTATCGTCTTACCACGGCGAGTGTTGAGGAGTTATTCTCTCTTATTCCACCTTCCCCTTTCCTTCAGAGGAGCACGCGCGCTGGCCTTCGGAGTTGCCGTCTAACTGTTGGCACAATTCCAACGCGTACAAAGAAAGCACAATGGGCAAAACACACCCAGCTCCGCCAACAATGTAATTAGTATGAATCGATAGATCTATGAAAAACTAGCCTTTTTTTATTATGACACCGAAAATAAATATCCTGGGTGTCAAAAGATATGACACCGAAAAAAATATCCTGGTAGTCAATAGATATGACGCATGGGCATATTTAAGTAGCTAAATAAATTCATTTTATAGTACCTTCATTTAATATTATTAGTTATCATTATAATATGCCACATCATACAACCAGATATACGACAAAGCCTGCCAACCTCCTGCGCTTGCTCTTACTGAGACATTTCAAAACGGTTTACGGATGCTGAGGGACTTGCAGTTGCAAATAGTCGACTCGTCTTACGTCGTTGTGATTGTGCGTTCCCTGCTACTTGATTGATTTTTATCTAACACGCTTTGGACATTGGAACACGATTATCGGTTTTGACTATTAGTATGGATGAACTGGAATCATGTGTTCTCCGAAGCGTGGACCAGTTTGTGTAATCTGTGGTCGCTCCGTTTTACATAGAAGACAATTTACTATAACAAACAGAATGTTTCAAAAAAACCCAACCCATGCGGGGATTTTTGGATTTATTATAAGGGTTTTATTATAAGGAGGCACCCTTGCACCTTGTGAAGTACTCCCATAATTTCTGAGCACCCTATGTAGGCTAACTAACTAAATTAATTCCCTTGTTTCATTAATGTTTGTTCGTTATAGTACTTGTACATATTAAACTTAAAATAACTAAAGACCCCCGGGATAGAATTTGATGCGCTTTGGCACAGATGATCTTGACTATAATACCTTTCAAACAAATGTAGTTTAGGCCGTAGCGGACGTGGGTGCAGCGTCCATACATTTTTGCCCAATGTTCTTTGGTGACTCATTTATTTGTCGCACAATTCATAAATGGAATACTCTGCCCGTTCACGTGTTCCCTCCTTCTTACAACCTGAGATCCTTTAAAAGAGGCGTGAAGAAGCAACAATGTACGGCAGCAAGGTGAGGATGGCTGGTGTGGCAGGTGCCGTACCAGCTATGGTCACGTCTGAACTTCGGTCAGTGAGTCATTTGTCGGACCAATCTAAAAAAAAAATAACCCCGCGTTTGTGCCCTACATAATTGAAAGTAAACTTTACGTTAATATGAAGAGCAGTGTTAAGTTATTAAACGTTTTTTCCACTCTTTGGTAGAACAGTTAAATACCTATATCACTTGAAAAACCATTTGTAAAAAAGACATTACTGTCACTAAAGTGCTCCTCGCAGGAAAAATTACAGGATTGAAGACAATATTTATAACCTAATAACAGAATTGGGAAAACCCTGTATTTTTCAATATCTAAATTAGATAAATAGATAGATAAATACTTTATTATAACACCAAATACATAATTACGTAACATTCACAAACAATAATATTAACAAAAGCGTTATAATTGGCGATCTTATCGCTAAGAGCGATTTCTTCCTGACAACCACTGAGTATGAAAAGATAAATAAAAAAAATAGATGAACACAACAGACAAAGTTTGTTATCTCCTTCTTACTTTGCCAGATAAGTTTGAGACTTAAGACAACTTTGGAAAGATGAGTGATAAAAAATATTTAACTATGGATTTTGTGCAGTCAGGATTTCTTGATGCTGAACTTAAACTTGAAGGAAAGAAGACTTAAATAAATAAATCTAGTTTTCTTACCTTTATCAAATATAGCAAAACTGGGCACAAGTTATACCAGTGATACTCGGGATAGCAAAATATAAAAGGAAGAGGAAGAACAATACACAGAGGAAGAGCAGAAGCTCTTTTTCTAAAAGAGGAAGTTATGAGCATTTGCTAATAAGTGTAGCGCGCCTGCCCCGCCCACAAGGCCTTTCTAATCTCTTTCAGTGTTATGTGAAAACTCCGTTTAATTAAAATCAGTACACCACAATCATTGTAGATCAGAGATTTTGTAATATCCACATCCAAATAAATATTTAATAACTGAAAAATCATGTTTCCTTCGTCGCCATCATAATAATATAGAAATGATTTCCGACAGTTTCCGTTTTCTAAAGAATATAATCTTTAACATAAGATATTTACAAAATAAATTATAATAATATACATTTTGTATTCTTGTTAATTCATGCTGGGTTGAACTTTCTATCATTAAAATAATTGTCAAAAATTATGATAGAGTCTGTGCGGAAAGAGAATGGGCGTGGCTAAAAACGGAACTAACGTTAAGATTTTTATTTGGCGATCAACCCCAGCAATCTGTAAAACGTCAAAGTTTTGTATTCATACGGATTTGTTTGTTGTTGTGATTTCTTGCGGTTTTTGTATTTAATCATGTCTAAAAGGGGTAAAACCTTACAAATACGGTATAAAAACACTACAGCGCCCTCCAATCTAAATCCCATTCTCTTTCCGCACAGACTCTTACTGAATACTTACCATGCTATCTATAACAAAATATTAGTCCAAGATTCCAGGGCCGCCAGACCTTAAGCCTCAACCCTATAGACACGTTTTTATCAACTTATAATACGGATATGGACGGATGCGTCATTGCGATAAAGCGTCCCGAAACACACAACTGTTTTTATCAACTGATAGATCACGGCCACCTGATACTTGGACGTAGTTACGCGAAAACGTTCCAACCCACAGCGACCCCATTTTGAGATAAACGCAATTTTGTGTTTTAGCGGTACACTTTTTCCCTGTAATTATTTCAGGCAAATACTATTGGTGTTACTGTGGAATGCCAAATTGGTTATTGAATGATATGCATATTTTTTGTAAATACATAATACAAGGGGCATATAAATAGGTAAAACGAGTTTGAAACGTTTTCGCTAAATTTAATTTTGTATGAACCTTGTTAAATAGCAATTATGCATAAACGTTCCAGAACGAATTTAAGTGTATTATTTTATAAATATATCTAAAATAAATATGTAAAATAATAAATAACAATGAGGAACATACAAAAACAACAAAAATTTGAAAATGTATTACAAAAAAAATAGAACGTGATCTTTTGAGCTTTGAACCTATGCCAATTTGCTGATATGGTTCCAAAAGTTATCAAAAACTTATATTATAAACATTCAATTTTCATCATCGTATTCTATGATCTCGAAGTCCGGAACTCCACCAAACCCATCAACATCATCAGTGCTTCTTCAGAACAGAAGGCAATCCACTTCCTGTGCACCTCTTCCTACCTCTCCTTCTACCAATACATAACAATGCCCAGTATCATTAGATGCACTATGGATACCACTATTGTAGAACTAAGTAAAAAAGTTAAACCTCTTCAAGTTTACAAAATGACAAAGACTGATTTTATAGTACAACTAAACTGGAAAAGAAGATTATCAATAGGAAGAAGTTTACAGACTCATCTAAAGTTAGTTGGCTACATACAAAAGAAATTAAGTTGGATAAAGATATAATTTTTTCTATTTTTATGCGGTCTACGATGGAAGACGATTTCAATGAGTTGAAAATTGATAAAAGAATAAAACGAGAACTACAATACATAAAAGAATCTGATTTTTGCTTATTGTGGCCTAACGACAAACCGATTGCTCCAGCGAAATTAGTGGACTTACAATCCATGTACCACTACATACCCGAGGATTGCCTTCAATTTTATAGAACGCTTCAAAGTTCTGAAGAAGCACTGATGATGTTGATGGGTTTGGTGGAGTTCCGGACTTCGAGATCATAGAATACGATGATGAAAATTGAATGTTTATAATATAAGTTTTTGATAACTTTTGGAACCATATCAGCAAATTTTTGGCATAGGTTCTAAACTCAAAAGATCACGTTCTATTTTTTTGTAATACATTTTCAAATATTTTTTTTGTTGTTTTTGTATGTTCCTCATTGTTATTTATTATTTTACATATTTCTTTTTGGTTTATTTTTATAAAATAATACACTTAAATTCGTTTTGGAAAGTTTATGCATAATTGCTATTTAACAAGGTTCATACAAAATTAATTTAGCAAAAACATTTCAAACTCGTTTTACCTATTTATATGCCCCTTGTATTATGTATTTACAAAAAATATGCATATCATTCAATAATCAGTTTGGCATTCCATAGTTAAACCAATAGTATTTGCCTGAAATAATTACAGGGAAAAAGTGTGTAAATTGCGTTTATCTCAAATTGGGGTTGCTGTGGGTTGGATCATTTTCTCGTTACTACGTCCAAATATACCATAGTTATTTATTTTGGTAAAAAATATCTTATTCTCTAGAACATACTTAATAGCAAAAATGGATCAAGTATATGTGGATTGTTTATAGCAAAAAATTAGAAAATAATATATTATAATAAAAGGTTTCAATTTATTTAGAACAGTGTTCGCAGCTTAAAAAAACAGTATGGATTAATCTAAAAGGTTTCAAATTACATGGAACATTTTTGCAGAAATAAAAAATGTATAAAGATTTTGCAAAAACGTTCCAACCCACATGGATCATTTAAGAAACCATTAAATGTGCGTTTTATGAATTTAGTATAATGTTCCAAGACAAGTGGAACATTATAACGATATGTTATTCTATTAAGAGTTTTTAACAATATGTTTCAGTATGCATGTAATGTTTTTACTTTATTTTGAGTACACGTCCTTGGCATAATGGTGGGTTGGAACATTTGGGTTAAACTTTATTGATGAAACTAACCTAAAAATACTAGCATCTTTGTGTGCACATGATGTAATATGTCAAAAATAGTACCCTGGTTATGGTAACTCATTTTCGAGTGACTTGTGGGTTGGAACGTTTTCGCGTAACTACGTCCACTTGAGAATTGCCGCACAGTCCACATTTTACATATTTTGTCTACCAGAAAATAAGCGAGGTCTGGCGGCCCTGGGATCTTACTATATAAGTAGCTTTGTCAACATTAACATGTTTATTTTAAAATAGTGATAAGTTTATCATTTACATCGACAGCTCTGTATGAATGACAATGGAGTAAATAAAACAGCCTATGGCGATTATTTTGATTGTTCTTCAATACCTATAAACAACATGGCTTTTTGATATTTGCAATACGTAGCCTAGGCGGAATAATAAAACCAATGAAATGCAAATAATTTTAAATTACAACTGTTTTAGATAAATCTCAAATACTCACTAACTTTTCTCCGGGGTGTAGTTTATAGTAATATCCCCGGCTAGACCATTTTTGTCCAGCCCGTTTCTACTAATGGTTATCGTTATAGTTCTATCAATTTCTTTCGGGAACTCTTTGCTGGTAATCTCTTGAGGTGGATTGAGTATGGATGACTTGTCGTTACCAGTTTCTTCGGGCTTCAACATTAGCACTGGAGCGGTGTGTTCCTTGTCTATGGGGATAACCGGAGGCTCTTCCCCGTTCACATAATGGACCGGATAGTGCTGCTTTAACTCACTCTTAAGTCGGAATCTCAAGTAGCAAAGTGTACACCTATTAAAAAAAAAAAAAAAGATTATTGTTTGACTACTACATATACTTATAAGCAGTGCCCTTGTACAAATTTCTTGTTCCTATTCTTATCTATTTTATTGTGTGTGTACTGTAGTGTTTGTTTTTAAACAGAGCGTGACACTGACACACGTAGGACAGCTGTTTTGTCTATGATAGCGAACCGCTTACGTCAGCGTAGCTGTCAAACTTCATTGATTGGGTTGGTAGCCTTGAGGGAAGAGTCGATTTTCCTATTCGACTAAAATATTCGCCTTGAGACTTATAAAAAAAAAAAAAAAAAAAAAAAAAATAATCAGGCGGGAATCTCTGTGGGGGCGCGTGGATGAATGGATGGAGTTTGACAGTTGTTGAATTTTGAATAGTCTTTCCCAGATCGATTTGAGTCCTCATTATCGGGTGCTGTTTTTAATCGATTTTGAATTTTACTCGTAATTGAATTTCCTCGCTGATTTGGGTAGGTATTCCCTTTTCCTCAGCTTACGGCGAGCGTAGGTATATAGTTTTGAGTTTATTCTTCGGTTCGTCTCGAATGCGGCGGCTGTCTGTTTGACTGTGGCCTTTGCCTTCAGTTGAAGTGGGAAACAAATCATAGACACATGTTGGGGAGTAGACGATCCGTCTATCATCTATGAGCAATTGTCAAAACAACTTTTAAAATTTCACAATCTGTTTGTGGTACAGTTAACTTTTCATCTTTTCTTCTGCCCAAAGTATAATAAACGGCATATTATTGTCGTCGAAGTCGTGAGATAGATCCGAAAAGTTTATATCCCGAAGGATATTGGCGGAAAAAGCGCGGAGTCGCTAACCGAACTGAGTTTCGTAGGTATATTGGAGTGGCTCTTTTTCCTACATAATTTGCAAGTTTGGGCTGTGAAAATAACCTTTCTGTTGATATTCTGTATCGTAGGTGGACGAACACGAACCTCCGCAAGGCGATTGCAATAATAAGGCGGTAACTTGTGATAGGAAACAAAATACTTACGGATAGTTTCATATTTCGAACGGTAAGCTATCATCTGATCTCATATTTATTCTCCTAGCACTAATTGAACCGCATTATGCACAATATAGTGATTCTTGTCATCAAATATACCTAATCATTCTTGTCAAGTTAGTGAACGTGGAATTGATTTTCTTCAAACCGGGTGGGACGGGCCCCCAGTCCTGTAGTGATTCAAATTTTAAAGTGTAAACATTGACCGTGAATATCCCTCACTCCCTCACCCACCACAGATGTGGTAATCTATGTATTTTCCCCATATCTGATCATTCTTTTTCAATGTGAACTTCAGGCTTGTACGTTCCCCTCAAGAAATACTGGAGGACTAACAAGGAGACTTTTGTTCTGTGCACGGACCAGAAGGGGCGCGGGAGTTTATTTGCCAGCCGCTCTCCGGTTTTATGTAGCCCGGCCGTAACAGCGGACAGATTATACACAGCTTAACCTATCATAATCAAGGTATTTCTCTACTAACCCCGGGTGAACGTGAAAAGGAAACAACAGGCGAGGTTGGACCCCGACTTACCCATTTCCATATATTTACATATATCTATATAGCTGGTTATCTCACTGAGAACTAGAATTAACGAAGTTTGTCACCAATATCGATCAAACGAGCCGTAGAACCTCTGAAATCCACTAAATAGCTTATTCAGTATAGTCTATGTGGTATTTGTGGATAAAAAAAATATTAGTAAGTATTATATTGTAAGTACATGGTAAAGTGTTATGAATGTCTGATATTCTTATAATTATAACCTTTCCTGACAACTTGTTGGTTTATATACACATTAACTTTGAACTACTGTATTCAGCTTAGATATTTATAATTAGTGAAACATAGTTATTATATAAATAATAAACATAGTTGGACTTGTTGATTTATATAAGCAATAACTTAAAACTACTGAATTCCTATGCTTTGGTATCTAAAGTGGATAAAATATACTTATAACATTATCTTAATTTTTTGGTTTTCTTTTATTGTTCCCCCGGTGCTCTGAGTAAGCTAGTAAAGAGCTGTGGAGGGGAATTTAACATCACATGTGGCGCCCGAACAAGTGGAAACAAGGCTTTGTAGCATTTGCTTTGCTCTTTTTTTTGGTCATTAATTGCTCAAAAAAGGGTTGATCGATATTGGTGATTTTTCTTTTTTTTTTAAATTTTCTTTTTTCTCTGAATTATTTGGCTTATATCCAAAGATTTGTTTATCTGGTTATACTGTGTTGTAAACATAATAATTTGTAACATCGGATGATCGATATTGGCTCAAAATTTACAATCAAAAAAAGTCATATTTACTTTTTTATACCCTTATTTAAAGAAAAAAAAAAGAACCCTCTTGTGTACTGATTTTTGGTAGGTTAGTTCACCAACCTCACTTTTTTGAACCTAACAAGAAGAAACCTAACATTGAGAAACCTAATCCTTTAGAACCTAACAATTTTCAACCCTCAGGTGTGAAACCACACTTGTTACAACACTACTATTTTAACTGATATATCTTAACAGGTAGGTGATTTTATTATCATATTAATTACACTTTGTTATTGAACATTTCTTTATTTTGCCACACTAGGAGTAATTTTAACTTACAAAATGGAACAGAGGCCAATCACTTTTAACTTGTTACACAAAGATGAGTTGGAATATGAAGTCAGAATTAGGGGTGCGAAGCCTGTGGACGGGGTGCCTGCTTTAAAGGCACAAGTACGTGCTTTAAATAAAGATTTACCTTCTGATGAAATATTAACTTGTGAAGTAAAGATAGAATCAGAGTTGGATATTATTAGGGAGAAATTAGACAGTTTAGATGATCTTACTTCTCAAACTTCTTCTAGAGCTAGTTCCCTTAAAGCACTGAACAGAATACAATCATTAGCACATCACTTGTTTCATAGACTTAGCCGCTTAGATTCTGATAATGATGACAGCATCGCCTCTCAATTGGAAGCGCTGCAAGAGCGTCTAGACAAGTTTCTGGTTAAGTTAGATAACATTATGCACCATTTTAAGAGTAGTTTAACTCAGGTGCCTCCGGAAGAGAATAGCAGAGTCCATGCTGCTTCTGAACGCACTGGGAATGCTTCCCCTGACTCTGGTGCTGCCGTACATAAACTAAACATACGGTTTAATGGGAAAACCTGTGTAAAGGCATTCTTGCAGCGTTTAGAGGAGTTATGTTTGTCTCGTGGTGTAACAGATGGTAAATTGTTCAATTCTGCAGCTGAGTTGTTTACAGATGAGGCTCTTTGTTGGTATCGTGGGGTGCAATCCGAAGTACATAGCTGGTTAGGGTTGAAAACCTTGCTTCTTGATGAATATTTACCATCAGATTATGATCATCGTTTGTTACAAGAGATCCGGTCTCGCACTCAGGGTTCCGATGAAAGCATAGTGAATTATCTTAGCATTATGCAGAACTATTTTACTCGGTTGTCAAAGTCGCTCTCAGAGGAAGAGAAATTGAATATTGTTCTTTTTAATATTAGACCTTTTTACACTACACAATTAGCTTTGAATCCCATAGAGTCCTGGACAGATTTGAAACGCAAATGTAGACTTCTGGAAGGTGCCAAGGAGCGTTCCCAACATTTTAGTGAACCACCTAAAATAACCCAGGCTTGCTTAGCTCCAGATCTGAGTTATAAGAATAGCAATAATAGACAACTGCCTAAGGTCTCAGCCGTGCAACTGGTGGGAAATGATAAGTTCTGTGTGCGTTGCCGTGTTGAAGGGCACACTTTGGGAACATGCCGGGAAGCTCATGTTTTGGTTTGTTATCGTTGCGGCCGGAAAGGGGAGACGGCAAGATCGTGTCCCGAGTGCTCCCAGGGGAAAGCTAAGAATTCTTCTCTCCCAAAAAACGGGAAGGTGTGAATCGGCGCTGTTATACATTTTTGTCTAAACACGAATGGGATTCGTGGTTGGAAGTAATTCGACGGTTTTTCGATAGTAATAAACAAAACATTATTAAAAAGTGTCAAAATGAATGTCAACATCTGACAGCGCCGATTCACAACACAAGAGGGGATGCCCGTCCATTTTTAAAAATTACTATTTATGAATTAGAATATATAGGCTTGCTAGACTCTGGTTCTGAAATATCTATTGTAGGTAACAATGCAATAAAACATTTTTCTGGCCTTGGTACTGTACATAAGTCATGGGACTTAACACACATTACTACTGCAAACGGTTCGTCGTCTCCAGTGACGGGCTACATATTTTTGCCAGTCACTGTCGGAGGAAGAACCGCCACTATTAAATTCTACTTAGTACCTGGGGTCGCCACTGAGCTACTTTTTGGGATGAATTTCTGGAAAGAATTTAAGATAGCACCCGACGTTCTATCCTTATTGGAGGGTGGTGAGTATTTGCCGGGGGGTAATCATATTGGTTCGATCACTTGTAACGATAGATTTTTACAAGATTTTGAGTCGCTCTCTGAGTCCGAGCGTAGGCAGGCTCAGGAAGTAATACGATTGTTTGAGGATATATCAGCGGAGAAGAGAGGATTAGGTAGGACTCACTTGGTCACGCACAAAATAGACACGGGCGATCATCCACCGATCAAGCAGCGTTACTATATCATGTCTCCGGAAAAGTTGGCCGAAATGAACAAGCAACTAGACCAAATGCTCAAAGATGATGTGGTGGAGCCGAGCAATAGTGCGTGGAACAATCCCGTCACTCTGGCGCAAAAGTCGGATGGATCTTATCGTTTTTGTTTGGACAGTAGGAAACTCAACGCGATTTCAAAGCATGACGCCTATCCTTTGCCGTATATCAGTAGCATCCTGGACCAGCTCCGTGACGCGAAATTCCTGTCTTCAATCGATCTTAAATCGGCATACCATCAAGTATTATTATCACCGGATTCCCGGGAAAAGACCGCATTCACTATTCCCTCCCGCGGGCTATTTCAATTTAAGGTCATGTGTTTCGGTTTGACCTCAGCGCCTGCCACTCAGCA